CACCGTGAGAGGTGCGGGGGGGGGGGGGGGGGGTAGTCAAGTTAAGATCTTGATGTCATCCAGGACCAGAAAAGCAAATGAGAGATAATCAGGACAAAATCTAACCTTGTGAATATCGTCAAATGTGATCACGAGTGAGGAGGCAATGAAACGGGCAGATGACTCATCGAGCGGGGAATGAAGAAGAGATGATAGAGGGCAAGCAAGACAAGTGTTCAGTAAGATGGCAGCATATGTTTCGTCAGCGCAAGTGCATAGAACTTCTGGAACAAAAGCCGAAGGCTTTATCGTGTTCTTCATCAGATTCTTCTCTCCCAACACTTGTGCCTCCTTTCCCAGCATCTTCACCTTCTGCTTCGAAAATCTTTTCAAGCTGAGCATATTTTCTGATTGGCCACACAAAATTCAGAAGAGAAGATATATAAATAATATACAATTGTTGAACTTGAAAGTTCACTTCTTTTCCGGGTATTCCAACATGTGAAACCAACCTTTGTCCTTCAAATGTACGAGCCCGATTTCGCTGCAGTCTGTTGAACTCAAACATGTTCTCCATTCCTACAAAAAAAAAACAGATCTTTAAGTAAAAGGGATGAACTTCTCCGGGTTGTGACTAACGAAAAGGGCATAGCTAAGCTTACCAGGTCTGCAATGGCGACTTTAGCAAGAGCTGTAGAATCAATGCTTTTTCCAGATTCCTTGGAGAGATCAAAAGAAGAATGTCTCGACCTAGACAAAATTAAATGAAACCATTCCATGAATGTCTCGATTACAAAACCGGGAATGTGAGGAAAATGGTTAGAGTCAATACTTGTGATCATCCTCCGAAAGCTTTGTCAATGGCCCGATGACTGAATCGAACTTCTCCTTTGTTAAAACGACACAGACAACATCACCCACTGCAATTGCAGTAACAGAACCTTTAAGCTCACCGAGAAGAGCCCATTCACCAAAGGAGCTTCCTTCTCGCTTTTCTATGGAGATCTCTGTTCCGGTCTGCAAATTCTCATCCCCTTTCGGGATATCGGTCTTAAGGCTCGATACATTTGGACTCTCCAATAAATCTGCAGTGAAAGTGATTCTCACAATCCCCTTCTGAATAACATACAGCCCTTGAAGCCCTTCTCTCTGCAAAATACAAGACGGGCATAAGAAATAGTTTGTTAAAGCAGACATTTTTCTTCAAGAACAGCAAATTAAACTTCACCTTGTCAACAATTGTTTGTCTGTCTGAAAAGGAAACTTCTGAAAGAGACCCGGCAACATGGCTCAGTTGTAGAATCGTAAGACGGGAAAGAAGATCGACAGATCGAAGAAGCTTCAAGGATGCCAAGTTTGAAAACTCAGACATTAGAATTCCCCGGAAATCTTCTCGTTTCAAAGCCCACAAGTTCCCATGTGTGACTGCTCGGACAGAAGCCTGAAGTGGCTTGTTATGCCTGAACCATCATCACATTTCGTAAGAAACTGCATTTCTTTCTCTAAATTTACCATAAAACAAGGAAAAAAACTCATTAATGGAGTTTAGTGGTTGGAATATCGAGAAGGTAGAGGACTTACATCAAGGCAAGTTCACCAAAGGACGATAGCTTCTCAGCCGTATACCGTTGCAAAACCCTGGTCACCTCTCCATTCTTTTCTTCCTGACATACATTGCCAGTTATGAACAACTCATAGAGGCTATGAATGATTACATGTTTATACTGGAAGAACACATTAAAGAAATACAGCCATGGAGCTAGAAAAAGTAGCCGATAACGCTAAAAAGATGCTTGCAAAAATCCAATGAAGCTGACGATTGAAACAAACCTGAGTTGCCAAGACCTCAAATTCTCCACTACCGACAACATAGAAGCAATCTCCTTCACCACCCTGCAAAAGAATAAACACAAGTAAGAACGATATCGGTTTGTTCACAAATGTCCTTAAGCAACGTATGCAACTGAAGAAGAAATATGCTTCCTCCATTCTTGCAGGCAACATACATTTCACGGCATTTTCCACCTTTGAACTACTAAAATTTCCCCCTAAAGTTCACATTTGATATTATAATATAACCACAGCAAAGAATCACTATTAATCCCATTTGCTAGAAAAAGCACTGAGACCCATCTTGTCAAAGACGGGGAAAAAGTCCGAGGGATCAAGTCACTAACCTGTTTAACAACAATGTCCCCTGGCTGAACTTCAATTCTCTGCATGCAATCCAACAAAACCTGGCATTGGGAGTCAGTGAGTTTCCTGAAGAGGAAATGGTCATGGAGTACTTTCTCAATGTGTGCCTGCAACAAGAATGTCGCGCTTTTTAGTTGTAAAGACCAAGAATTCAAGAGGAATTTCCCGAGTGGAAAAAGAACTGGTAAAAGCAGAAGAAGAACAAAACAACAACTATTACTTCTTCCTCCCAAGTTTTCCTATGAGCCGGAGATGGAGGAACCCAAACATTTCCGTTCTCTAAAGAACTCTCAATGGCACGGATTCTAGCCCGAGATAGATCATTCCTCACACGTTGGTTCCTAGAGTTCCAGCTGAAGGTTGAAGGAGATTCTGAACCCGTCAACTCTACAATTTGTGGAATAGGAGGTCGAAGCACAGTTCCTGTACTCGAAAACTGAGTCGGAGAACTCTGGAAGAAACAAAAATTTTAATTCTCAGTAACCGCCATTACTGTAGAAGAAGTTCTGCTTCAATGGACATTAACAGACAGTGTAAAAAGAAGCTCTCTTACATCTGTTAACCCGTCAATGTGCACAACTATCACAGTTATATCATCTGTACGAGTTTCATACTGCAGCCACAACCTGTACGATTCAGCAACAATTGCAGCACAAGCATCACGAGGATCCTTATGTTTTGCAACCTGAAAATAAGAAAAAGAAAACGCACGTTTATGGACACTATAACAATCTTAGCAAGCTTATGAAGTGAATTCAGATAAGAACGATGGTCTGACTAGAATACCTTACCATGTCAACGACAGTCTGACTAGAGAGAAACTCGAATACTCCATCACTGGCAAGCACAAAGAAAGGATTGTCAGGTGAAAGCTCGACAACAGCAATCTCAGGATTAGCCACAACACCGATTGATTCTGCAATAGAATCGCCGATACTCCTTGTAAAAGCTGTTCCTGGGTACATTCCATTGGGCACCCACAGTCTTGGAGGGTCACCATCGTCACCTTCCTCAGTTCCCCAGCACTGGACATCAGGATTTTTCAGACCCTCAATCTGGTCCAGTGTAAGAACCCTAGCTCCACAAAGCTTAACTCTTTCAAGCTCATCGGACCGGTACGGTGTCTGATCAATAGACAAGTCTACAGCTACGGTATCCCCTCCTCTTTTCTCGGCTAAAACAGCCCTTGAATCACCCGTATTCGCCACGAATAATGTTCTACCTCTAACCAAAACAGTAATGGCCGTCGTCCCACTCATACTGTCGTCTAGAATATCAGCATGTAACTGAGAATTCGTGGCCAGAAATGCAGAATAACAAGCCTCTGCAGCATCTACATGATACCTACCGTGCCTAAGAAGATTCTCACACAACTTACGTTTCGCAAACTGCGAGCACTGAGCACCATTCTCGCCATGCCCATCGAACACCCCGAAAAAATGATCATCTGGGCTGGTCCCAAAGGGAGTGTGGATCGCAAAACTATCCTGATTGGCCTTATCCAGAGCATCAGGATAATACCCTCTTTGAGACAAGAACGAGTATCTCAGTTCATAGTTACAAGACGGTACCTTCACAATCCTTGATCCATCCGGCGGTAGAAACTGAGCTGAAACCCTGGAAAGCCTGGTGATTCCCCATTCCTGGTCCCTGCTCAAGCTCAGCTGATGAATTTCGTCTCCGATTTCGGCCTCCGGCACATCGGAAGGAAAGTTGAACACCGGAATCTCCGCCGCCGAGGGGTCTCCGCCTCCCGCCGGATTCTGCCGCTGCTGTGGTTCCCTGATGCTATCCTCTTTCGTTGCGCAAATCTGACCAATGCAAGTTCTCGAATAGGCACAACCCATTACTGAAACAGACGAGCAGAAGCAAACCCAGATGGCAGAATCCCCAGCAAACTGATCCACTGATCGAAATTTCACCACGACCGGCTGGTAATCAGAGACTGCCAGAGAGCAACCGAATTCTTCGAAGCCTCGCCATTTTCCTAGAAAGCTACAAACTTTTCCCAGAAAAGTCGAAAAGACGGCAGAATATCGCTGGGAAACCCATTGCAGATCCTTCTGAAACCCTTTTCACCAGATGGAAATGGAACTGGAGACGGATCTTCCTGAGCTACTACTGAATCTGACAGTCGCGTAGAGAACCGGAAATTATTCGAATTTGACAAAAATCTCAGAGAAAAAACCGGAAAACATACTTCAAAATCTGATTTTCGAATCGAGATAACCTCCGAAACACGAGTTCTCGATCCACTCCACGAAGGAACCCGTTGCAGCCAATAAATTAAAATAAATTAGTAAAAAAAAAGGGTTGATAAGAAACTTAAAATAATTCTAGTCTCTAGAGACGTGAAAATAAGTATTTTATTTGTTTAATGATATATAGAGGCAATGGCCATGGAACAATCAAAGTACCGAAAGAGCGATCGATGATTCGATGGAAAGACTCATGTCTCCTTCACGACAAGGATTTAATAAAAAACAATTTTTTTTACAAAACCAAACACCGGCGTATTTTAGAAGGATACGGAGGTGATGGGTGGGGTGCGTAGTGTGCTTGCCTACCCACTTGTGAACTGTGATTGATCACTAAACAAATGTTCGTGACCTTTCAGCTTTCACCACTATATGTATGTTTAGTTATTATTTTTGTTTGTTCAATTCAACTTTACCATTAATCAATAATATAATCGTATGCGTCTTGGGATTCTTGGTTAAACTGTTTATAATTAAATTTTAAATTTTTTATAAAGTATGTTGAGGGTAAAGAATGTATATTTGTTAAATACAATTAGCGATATAATGGCTATATTTATTTTTTTTTCATTTTTATACAGAGAATGCCTCATTGATACATGCCTCTTTGATATCTAGACAAAAGTGTCCAAACCAATTTATGTGGAGAAATGGCAACGACGAACGCCATATCCGTACGCACATGGGCGGATCCATTTGAATTGAAATGGGTCACAGCCCCCATTGTTTTTTTTTTTAATTTAAAATTTAAAATCTTTATAAAATTTTAAATAAAATTCCTAAATATTTCCGTATTAAAATTACATTTGTCTCTATAAAATATATCTATTACTGCTATATATATATATACATATGTATACATAGCCTTGAGAAGAGCGTTGAAATTATGTTGGTAAGTTGGTAACCGGATCAGTCTTTAGAAACTGAAGTTTGTGGCAAGGGAGATGAATCATTGCATGTGCCCTAAGACTCCAAACTCTCTCTCTATATATATATATATAATTATATATATACTCCAAACTCTCTCTCTCTATATATATATATATATATGTATCACGCTTTCTGCCGATTTGTATCTTAGATTACTATGTGCATATATATATATATATATAGGTGTGAATGCTAGAATAATATAGGCTGATAAAGGCAGCTTTCACATAATAACGTCAGTCGGGACTATCAGATTTGACAGGAATTTTCATAATGTAAATTATGTAATCATTCCCTCTAAGTTTCCAAAAAAAAGGCATCTAAAAGGTTGTAATGATTGTGTACATATATATATAGGTGTGTTAAGTATTTGATGATCTATCGTTTGATTATATATATTACTCGAGACAATGGTGTGTGTGCATATATACATCCCAAGATGAATTTAAAACTAAGATTTGCTATATATATATATATATGCAAAATCTAATTAATGTATATTGATGTTGTTATCCAGTTCATGCTTTATTATAGCATGAAACCAACTTATTATAATTGAAATTGAAAAAAAAAAAGAGAAGGGGAGATGAAAACGGCAACCACGTTGGGAATTTTTTATTATATGATTACGTAAAAAGGCATTTCTATTATTCGTGAATGCGAAATGGCCCCTCACGTCGCTTCTCATTAAATTACCCCTTTGATTGGTGCGGTTTCCATTATTTAATATCTCACACACCTTTTCTCCTCGTTATCATATAAAATTATTAATTTCATGGATTTCTCAATATTATATAATATATATATATATATATATATCATTTCTAACTAATATTAGTCGAGAAGACACCAAAAGAAAGCTATGTTCATTTCAATGTTTACATGTGTGTATGTGTATGTATAGGTACGTATGTATCATGTATGCACAAAAGTAATAAATTGGAATTTGGAAAGAAAAAAACAATAACAATAATAATAATAATTGGGGGCCGAGAGGTCCGAAAGACGTAAAAGAGAAGCAAGAACCTTATCCGGAGTGACACGTCAGCAGATGTCAAACGAAGGTCGTCCACATGAAAATGTGAAAGCTCCCTCACCCACCTGTCTGTTGCGCATCCACGCATTTATAATGTAATTTTTTTCATTACAATTTATTCAAAACTCTAACTTTCAAAAACATTCGGTTAGAAGAATGTAATTATCATACAATAAAGAAAAAAAAAATACGAAGAGCATATGAAAAATCATTCAAATATTGTATGAAATTTGATCCTTGATCGTTTTGTGATGGGTATGCATGCGTATCGTCTGGGAGCAGGGAGGGTGCGTATGTTTGGATGGAAATTGGACCGACAGCTTTGGCACCCCATTGAAGACATGTCGTGAAGGTTTCTTGTTCAGTCAAACTTATTTTATATATATATATATATATTTATTTATTTATTTATAAATTGGTCTTTTTCACAAACATATATAGACAAGTGAATCTATCTGTGCTGCTTTATTCATATTTATGTGAAAACAACACACACCTTATGCCTTCAACCACGTGTGTGAGAGAGAGACCACGAAGCAAAAACCACAGACCTGCGAATCCCAAGGACAACCGAATTATTATTATTAGACAAACGCAAAACGCAAAACGCAAAACGCAAAACGCAGTGGGAACTATACAAAGGGTTCCCCCAGAAAAGACCAGCTCCTGCCTCCTGAGATCAATGTCTGAAAGCAAACCCTAAAGATCTCTTCTCCCGACTAAGAAACATCTTCCAAACTAACATGCCCAACAGAACAAATTTTGCATCTGAATTCATGACATCTGCAAACCTTACAGCTAACCCCTTTTTTTTTTTTTTTTTTTTTTCTGAATCACTGTCCATGTTATCTTGGAGATCGAGTTCCCATAAACCTGGAAAGGAAAAACAGATCAAACCTGGTTTCTCTGACAGAAAAGATTGCTCCCAACGCCTTGAAGACATCTTCTTCAAGCTGGGGGGTCCTGCGGTTTCTGCAAAGAATGTTGCTACTGATTAACGTATAACTCATTTTACACCATAAAGCTGCGTCTGAGCATCACCACATGCCATGTTTAGTCAAGAAACAAACCTTGTGATGACTTGGATTCAAGAATATGAACATAAGAATAGTATACACCGATGGGAATGGATCACAAAACAAAAAAAAAAAAATACAGACTGGTGCGAAATTTTATACAAGGTGAGCAAGCTGTTTATGACATCGGAATGAAAGCAAACAAACATACACTTCATGCCTTGTTTGAAACCGCCTTCAGAGAAACACACAGATGCGTTCATCGAGAAATTACACATTGTATTCTTTCCATTATCCGCAGCTTCCATCACTGCCTCGGCAGCAGGCATTCCTCGACAATATACACAGGATTGGCATATCCTTGTTCAACCCAAGGATGTCGTTATCGAATCTCCGCAACTATATATAGAAGAAATCAGGAATTAGTTGATCTATCTTCTTCTAAAGGCATGATTCACATCAATATCGCACAATCTTGCTCGGACACATCGGAAAACTACCTTTTTCTTTTACATCATCACTTGGCCGAAGAGACATTGTGAAATGAAGAGGTCCACCCACCAGTTCTATTTCCACTCCCGTACCCAGGATTTGAGGGTTCAGCATCAGCAGG